ACGGAAAATAAGTTAATTAAAAAACGGAAACGTAACAGTACTAAGGTATTAAAATCACAAATCTTAATTTCTGACATAGTAAAAGTATATTTCTTTTTTGTTAACACTGTTAGTATTATTTTAAATCGAGGATTATGAGTTGATCGCACAGTATAAGAACAATATTCTTCCACTATCGTTGATCGTGCATAATTGCTGGACATGATTAATCGCTATTGATTAGTATCACCATTTCTTTGTAAATCTGCTTCTGCGAAGGATGGAAGTTTACTCTTAGACCATACATCTTGAAAATGTTTTACAGAACCTCCCACTACATATCGGCAAACCAACTTCATAGAAACTCACGTGTATGTGAGGTCATGTGACTGTACATGTTTGTTAGAGAAGACATTAGAAGTGTTTTTATTCTCCATGATTCTTAGGAACATTGCTGTGAACTTAGTTGTTTCACTTGACGCTTTATACTGGTGTATTTTAGTATACTCATCATACAGTGTAGGAATTTCATCTTAATTAATTAATGTCAATATTATATATATAATTTAAAATGCCATTATATGGCAAATCTGCGACAATCACGAATCCAAATGAAAAACTTTCGTTTTATTCACTGTACCATTTTTTCGTGTATTCTGCAGAAAACTTTGCCCATTTTTTGCACAGTCACTCAAGTACACGAGGCCGCGTCTAATTTTGCAATTAACTTCTACTTCTCACGTCGAGATAATTTATTTTACAATTTTCTGTAGTTTGTCACCGATATGTAGGGGGAACAACTTTTGTACGTTGGTCAATGTCTTTTTAAATTACCTTGTGCAACATGTTAGTAATAACGTTCTGAGAGAGGTTATTCTTCGAAGACAAGTCTGCAAACTTTGGCAGTTACAGTGCTGAATGCTGTTTAGATGGTTTTATATCTTCTTATTCGAATGCTAATCTTTCTTTTCCGATTATTTTTACTACGTTATATAAATTCGCGTACTTAACATTTTAATCTCTCTCTTCGTTAATTCGTTAAGAAGACTGCTTCTCTCGAATACAACTATTATTAAGAAAGAACCAGAAGTAAGTGTCTTTAGTAACCATAGATAAATAAATATAGGTTACTTAATATTAAAACTTGGGATATGTAAAACTCTGTTGAAATCCAATAACGCTTGTTGTTTTATATTGTTACAGACAGAAGGAGATTTTGTTCAAGGCCAAGAGTTCACTGTCCAGGCTACACTAATGAACCCTCTTCCTAAACCTCTTACCAAAGCCATGTTTATTCTCGAAGGTCCAGGTATTAGCCAGCCTGTAAAATTGACGTTAAAAGGGTAGGTAACAATAAAGTAAGAACTTAACAAACAATGCAAGTATCTTGTTAGGCTTACGTGTGTACCATAAGAATGACAATAAAGTAGGTCGTGCTTCTTCAGTTAAAACATTATACATATATATGTATATAGATAAAACACTTAAATCTCGTAAGGCCAGATACAAATACTGTTTTAACTAATATTGCTGTTGCAGTGTTTCCTACTTTTGTGTGAGCTGTGTTGTGGATTATTTGGTAAAAAAGAGCAAATATAAGATTGCAAAGTGTAGTCCAATTGATGATAACGAAAGCGTTTTATTTCTTCGACTATGGCCTGGTGGTTAGGGCACTCGACTTGCGATCTTTGTATTCGAACTCGTACCGAGTATGCTCGCTCTTTCATCCGTGGGGGCGTTATATAGAGACGGTCAATCCCACTTTTTGTTGGTAAAGACTAGCCCAAATGTTGGCGATCGGTAGTATTGACTAGTTGTTTTCTCTCTAGTCTATCACCTATAAATTAGGGATAGCTAACAAAGGTATTCCTCGAATAGCTGTGGGCAAAATTCAACAAACAAACAAATCTTGTACTAAAATATCTACAAATTCTATGTACTAGTCTAACGGTAGAGAAGCGATATTTCATTTCACATTTATCGCTAAACAGTTGTTTTTTGGAGCAAAGCCACATGTATGCTGTGTCCATCGCGGGGAATCGAACCCTGGATTTTAGCGTTGTAAGTCTGTAGGCTAACCGCTGTCCCACCGGGGACAATACTATACAGTTACTTTTTAATTTTCTCGTATATATATATAGTAACTGATTGATAATAACATACAAACTGACTCAATAATCAACTATCAAATACTTAATCTTAACATACGTTTTATGTAGTTCACATTGTTCTAACGCTTTAGAGAAAATTTCAGACGTATAAGACATGCTTTAATCACGTAACATCAATTATCCCTTTCGCCAAACAACAACACAAACGTTGAAATTACAACAATACTTAAGATCTAACCTAACTAGCCTATTGAGCTCTAGTTTTAAATAGTAGGACAAACTCAAGAGAGTTTGAAACGCTACTATATATATATATATATATATTTCCACTTGAAACTCAAGTGGGCCAGTGTGTTTGTTTTGGATTTTTGCGCAAAACTGTTCATAGGTTATTTGAGGCCTCCCAGTGGCACAGCGGGATGTCTGCGGACTTACAACGCTAGAAATCGCAGAGCACAGATAGTCCATTGTGTAGCTTTGTGCTTAACTTCAAACAAACAAGATTATTTGAGCTAACTCCTAATTTTGAACTGACGGACAAGAGGAAAGGCAACTACTCAACAGTACCACACAATTAACTCTTGGTCTACTCCAATCATATAGTGAAATTTGACAGATTATTTGATAATGTACCCACGACTACAACGTGTTGAGCGCGATTTTGTGACAAAGGGGATCAAACCATGAACTCTTGGATTCATAGTCCGGTACGCTAACCACTAGGCCACGGCCGGCTCCTTGAGGGTCAGTTATGAATGATATGATTGGGACTGTTACCAATTTTATTATAATGTCTCATTACAAATATTACTGTAAAATAGTTCGTATTTTGTTTTCTTAGGCGTTGTGAATTAATAGTGCTTTAAAATGTTGGTTTTGTTGTTGTTGTTTTTAAATTGGAAGTTCCATCAATTAACTCTGTAACTATGTGCACCTCAATGAATATACTCACGTGAAATAATTATCTTAGTTAAATTTTGTAGTATTTTACGAAATTTTATGCACCAAGTATTTTTGCGTTTGAACTTTTACGCAAGTAGGATCTTATGAATTTACTTTTGACGATGTTATCTTTTTTCGATATTATGTATACCAGACGGATGAATTAAGCTACGCGACAATTTATGAGTACTTAAAACGAACTAACTCGAAACAAGGTTAACACAATTGTTAGTTTGCATTAATGGGCAGTTTCAATAATTAGCATTGCGTTTTTAACTTCTGCTGTTTATATACGGACAGCTTTGTAGACAAGTGTCTCATCTACGTAAGAAATTATAACTACACAATGTTATTTAACGTATACCGTTCGCTATCGATAGGATCCAAATTTATTGCATCATATTGAGTAATTATGTCTTTGACTGCTGCAATACTCAGTGCAAAGAACTGACTGAAAAATATGAGTGGAATCATTACTTTTGCACATAAAATACATAGGAAACACCTACAGAAATTAATGGGATTAACTGCAGCATTTGGTGTATTTTTATTTAAATTTTTGCGTCACTTATACGTTATTAGAAACTCTATAAAGTCGTGGATTCCCAAGCAATTTGGTGCATAAAAAGTTTAAGAAATGTGTTTTAGAAACATATGAGGTAGGACTACACCAGTAATATCAGGGTTATACAGAACGGAAGAGGAAAGTTCTGAAGATAATACCTTGTTATGACGTTAGATATGCATCCTGTTTTCGCAAAAATTTTGGTGCCATATTACACAAGGAATTTCCTAACAGTAACGTACAAATAAGATTTGGTGAAAACTAATATTATAAGTATAACGTTTATGTCGGTCAGTTTCTATCGTAGTCTTCATTTAAGTTACACATTTTTAATATGTATAGTAATATTCATGTTACTTCTTCTTCTTGTTCACTTTCCATACGTTTATTGTTAAATACTGCATTTGAGTTTTGATCTATGACGAATATGTGGTGTGTTTTTGTGTTTCTTTTTCATTGCACAAACTTATTTTCATCATAAATGTTTAAAATACGTTATTGTGACAATTTTGGTTCGAAAGACAAATTATCAAGACACACAGTAGTGTGTCGTGCGGCCAAAACAATCGGCTGCAGAACACACAGTTTTATTAACAGAAGTGATAGTTTAGCGATTTTCCTTCTTCTTTAACTTGGACTGTGGTAATCCAAACGATCACATATTTTCAATAGATGTGCTCTACTGCACTCTTACGTCACATACCCAATTTCAAGGCAATCCATTAAGAAATACCTGAGACATAACATCTCTAATTTTGATTTAGTTTCTTCCTACTTTTTTTCTTCGTACCAAATGTAGAGAAACTTTATCTGATAGAAAAACCTACTAACTTTCATGGATTTTTTTCAAATTTTGTTACAGTGATAGATCTTTACAACCTACAATCAGGAGTCTCATTTGGTGTATCTATAAATCATATGTGCAAAGTTGTTCAACAAAAACACTCAAATTTGACGAAAATTTTTGCGCACGCCTACGCAAAAAGCTATGGGTCTAACATTTTTATTACAGTGAGGGTAAACGTGGATCGTTTTTAGTTTTAAGTCATTCGGATTAAAGACGGCTGACCTAGAGCAGCAAAACTATAAATTGAAAGAACGTACAGATACATAATTATTGGTTAGGCCAAGCAAACTAGATTAGCAGTTTCTATCTCAAGTTTA